CACTCACTCAACCCAGAGTGGAGCTTTTTCTTTTAGTTACTGTTTTATTCGCCTCCACTTATGTCCACAGAGAACTTGAGCAGGACTGTTCCCTGAGCTTCAAGAGGAGATTTAAAATTGTGTCAAGCTCATATCTTCAACTTCAAGATATTCAAGAACACTACATAAATTTTACTCCAGACTTACTTGAGAAAAGGAGAAGTTTTATAATACAGCATTATTATTAAATTTGTCTTTACCTCCTTACAGGAAAAATGGAGTAGTCTTCAACTCCTCTGGGACTGTCCATTAACCCTTTTTTGCCAAAGAAAACCCAAATTCAGAAATCCCTCTGAATATATTTTTTTCAAAATTCCAATTATTAATATCTTCATTTAAAGTCGTAAGAGAAAAATAGAGACAAGCCCCTATAGCAACAATCCTGAAACATATAGGTATATTAAGCTCATAAAGACCTCCCCATAAAAAGTTTTCTTGATTCTCCCAGGTTGCCAAGAAATGAATTATATCTATTCTTTGTATTCAGTTCAACAAAACAAATATTGAAACAATGTTGTGTTAAAAAGAAACTTGCAAGTGTAGGGAAGTTCATGATAAGATACTAAATGTCCAAAATATAGACAAAAAAACATAACATAAATAGGCAGATTTGTAGTCCTCAAATATTGGACCAAGTAACTGAGCATGCTGCCATCTGCTATACTCTCCCTGCTAGGGTAGAGGGCAAGAAACCAGGAAACTAGGTTGGATCAGCATTTCCATCTGGTCCCCATCCAGACCCCAACATGGAGCCAGAAGCAATCCGAGCCAGGTGTTAGAAGAAGGAAGACCAGGAGATCTGGTTCCTTCACTTTCCAGACCCAAATATGGGTTTGAGGAGCAACAGGAACCTAGAGAGCTCCTTCCCTCCCTCCCCAGACACCTTCATAAGACCAGACACAGCTACATAGGATGAAAGCAGAGGCGCCAACTTTCTAATTTCCCCGGGGATGCTCGACCTCTGCTCTACACTAGGCCCTGCCCCCACTCCATCCCTTCTCCCAAGACTCCACCCCCACCTTGCCTCTTCCCACCTCCACCCCACCCCTGCCCCACTTCTTCCTGCCCCACTCCTCCCCCTCCCCCCCAGCACGCCACTGAACAGCTGACCATGGCAGGCGAGAGGCGCTGGGAGGGGGAAGGAGCTGATTGGCAGGACCACTATTTTTTTCCTGTGGATGCTCCAGCCCTGGAGTAATCACAGAGTCAGCGCCTATAGATGAAAGTTCCTTAATCACAGAGATTCCTCTGCAGTTCTCAACAAGCAGCTTAGAAGTTAGCAGGTCTTATTTCAGTACTGCCGCTGTTAGGCAGACATGCACCCAGAGGGAGATGGCCACAAGTATGTTTGATATTGCTGCTCATGGGCCACCTATCTGCCCTTGCCGACCCTTATAACATCAGCAGGGAAAGAGAAACAAACTCTATGTGAATCGTAAAAAACAAACAACAACAACAACAAAAATCTACTGAGGACATGCTGTTTAAAAGAATACCCTAAAAAACTTGCATTTAAAAAAAAAATCTATTTAGAAAATTCAGGTTGACAGTATCCTTTAACCTTTAATCAAAAGGTAGAAAATGCCCTCTGACACCTAAATAAAATGTTTACTATTCCCGCATAATAGGTAATTCCCATTAATACTTAAAGGGAAGCTCTCAGGTTAAAATATATTTTTAAAAAGCATTACTGTTAAAAACACTTAAATTTTAAGTAGTATTTTTAGTATCACTGACACTGTTTGTTCTTCTATTTTCCATTGATTAATCTATTTTAATTGTCCAACCTCAGCAAGTTTCACTTTGTTCTAGTGTATGAGAAACATGTTTCCATATTTGGATGGAACGCACTGAAGAAGAATGTTCAAATCCAGATAAAACTGCTTTCCTTGATTCTCCTGCCACCCACACACACTTCATGAAAATATTTGTTAATAGTAGGCATCGTGATGCCTTTTCCCCTAAACTTCCTGACACTGGCTGTATAAACAAGTTGCACACACATATTAAGGAAACAAAGGGCCCTTATGATATTCCTCAATTTTGGAGATAGAGGAAAGCCTAAGGGGTTTAATTCTGCACTTGATTTATTTTCACCTCAGGGAAACCCTTGCATTTATACAGATTCTACCTTAAAACCTGCCTCCATGTTTTTCATCTAGCATAACACAAAAACCAGCAACAAGTTTAAACATCTCAGCTGACCCATAGTACATTTTTATTATATCTGAGCTCCATGTGTTATTAGATTGTTTGATCATCAATCCTGCTTTTAAAGCATTTGCAATATACTTTACAAAAAGGATAAGGATGTCCACATGGTGGCGTAGTAGCCATGAAAAGTAAGAACTAATGATGACTCTAGAAAGAGAGTGTAGCTAACCAAATTACCTATGGAAGTGAAAAACAGATTGGTCAGGGTTTGTTTTTTGAGTTTTCACTAACAATACTGTTTGGCTTTCTAGCACTGTTTTTATTAACTTTAATTAACGTGTTCATTATGTTATACACAACTTTAAAGACAAAAAAAATAGATTTTGGACCTAAACTACTTGTTAGTATTACTTTAAAACACCTATCATGTCAAGGATGCAAAGTTGTAGATGATATTAACTGTTAATTTTCATACAAATTACTAAAAAAAAAATAACAATGGATATGTGCTTGAAAACTTCATAAAAGCAGCCAGTAATTAAGTTTCCATTCAAGTAACATTGACTCATTTCCCAGAGAACTCAAAGTTAAGGACAATCTGCCCTTAGCAGAGCATACCCACATCACTGAAAGTTATGTCAGAATATATAAACATCACACTATTCTATTATACCGAGACACCATATTAGGCAAATTAAGAATAACCCCTACATTTTCCAGCAAATGCACTATATTACAGTTAATTTATGTGTTGTATTGGGATACATCTGTGAAAGCTGAGTTGCATACATCTTATACATTAGGCTAGGGTAGGGGTGGGCAAACTACGGCCTGTGGGGTAGATCCAGCCCGTCAGGGCTTTGGATCCAGCCTGCGGGATTGCCACTCCCGTGGCGCCGCGGGGCTAAGGCAGGCTCCCTGGCCCCATGCCGCTCCCGGAAGTGGCCACCACCATGCCCCTGCGGCCCCGGGGGAGTGAGGGGCAGAGGGCTCCGCACGCAGCCCTCGCCTGTGGGTACCTCCCCCGCAGCTCCCATTGGCCGGGAACAGGGAAGCCACGGCCAATGGGAACTTCGGGGGAGGTACCCACAGGCGAGGGCTGCGCGCAGAGCCCTCTGCCCCTCCACACACACACACTCCCCCAGGGGCCGCAGGGGTGTGGTGGTGGCCGCTTCTGGGAGCAGCGCGGGGCCAGGGCAGGCAGGGAGCCTGCCTTAGCCCCACTGTACACCACTGCCACCCCAAAGCCGCTCAAAGTAAGCAGCGCCAGGCCAGAGCCCGTACCCCAACCTCCTGCCACACCCCTCCTGCACCCCAACCCCCTGCTCTGAGCTCCCTCCCGCACTCCCTCCTGTACCCCAACCCCTTGTCCTGAGCCCCTTCCTGCACACCGCACCCGCTCCCACACTCCCTCCCGCACCCCAACCCCCCTGCCCCAACCCTACATTCATGGCCCTGCATGCAATTTCCCCACCCAGATGTGGCCCTCGGGCCAAAAAGTTTGCCCACCCTGGACTAGGACATACTAAGGACGTACTGTTTCTACTGAACACCATAAGTTTTAAACAAACCGATAGATGTTCGCTGCTTTATTTACTACTATAGTAGATTATCAAATCAAACTGCAAGGGTGTATTTTCATCAGTTCTGCTGACAGGTGTTTTACCAGGCCATTCTCTACTTGTCAAGATGCATTCATTAGATCAGAACCACAGAAAGATGACAGTTCATGTAATGGAATTTTTTTTCCTTGAATGCTTTCAACATTTTATTGCCACATACAATGAATCATGCTTTGGAAATCAATGTTGTATAACACAAGTTTATTGCAGCTAGCTCGCTCTCTCTTTGTAGTCACTCTTATGCACATTCTTTCGTAGGACTATTTTTTCCTCTAATTGTCAAGTAATCCTTGGAGACAGAAAATGGTTTGTTAAATTTGTTGGCACCCACACTGGTGACATACCATGCCCCAATAGGAATGCAAACCACTCTAGAATGAAGAGACCCCAGAGATGGGCTCGGCATAAACAGAAGAAAAGGTACACAGAGGAGGGGGCTGGCCAGTTTGGGTAGACTGCTCCCATATTTTAAGGCTTAAGCTGTACGATAAACCAGGGTAGACAATAGGTGGACAGTGGGCCAAAGCCGAACCACCAGATGCTTTTGAACAGACCACGTCTTTTTTATTTACTTATTATCATTATTGGTATTGCTGTGTGAGAAAGGTTTCTCTTGGAGTCTGGACCTTGCCTATATCTTGACCAAGAAATTTGGACGGTGACAAAAAATAGTTGATGATCCCTGATCTATACAGTGCTTCACCTCACTGCCATGTCACCCGCTCCAGCATGCGGCAGATAAACCTGCAGCCTGCCTGTACCCATAGCTAAAGAAGAAAGAAGGGTTTGTTTGTTTTGCGGCAGGGGTCCCCTTTTCTCCTGTGGGAGGGGCCTGCAGAGATTCATTCTCCCCTCTTCGGGGGATCAACCCGCTTTACTTGCATGTGCCTGGGCACATGGGGGTGTCTCTCCCCATCAGATGGGGGAGTGAGCCCCTTCTCCTCCCCATGAGAGAATGGAAGGGGTTAGTCCCCCCCCCCAACCCCCCATGCTCTGATCGGTGCGCATGCAGGGGAAGGGGCCACCCACGTCTCCCGTGTCTATGAAAGTAGAACTGGAGAAGAGTGAACACCTCGGGGGGGGGGGGGGGGGGGGAACCAGCGCCCCTGAGTCAGAGGGGAGGGGGAGTTAACAGGCGGGAGTCAGGGCGGCTGGCCCCTCCCCTCTCAGCCTCGTTTCACTTACTCCAATCCCGGGGAGAAGAAAACTCCGTCAGGAGAAAAAGCCGGGCCCCAGCGACAGCCACTTTTCACCTCACGACTGACAACAAGTACAACCCAGCTAGGGGAGGGGGAAAGCGGTCATGACCCGGAAATAGATAGGACTTCGGAAGTGAAGGCCCTGCGAAGTAGCGGTCACTGGGGGCGGAGCCTACGGCAGGACGCAGCTCTCACAAAGCGCATGCCCGGGGGGGGGGGGGGAACCACGAAACAGCGCTTGTGATTGGACCATTCAAATGTAGGAAGCTGGATGATTGGGTGCTTCGAAGGTGTGGGCGTGGCTGGCGGGAAAGAGCGGGCAGTTTGGTGAGCCCGAAAAGCGCGGCTCTGTCGATATGTCCGCGAGTGGCCGTCGCCGTCGCGGTGCCCTTGACAGGTAAGCGGGGTGGTGCCCGGGCCCTGAGGAGATGGTCTTGGGGCGTCAGGGGCGGGGGTTCCCCTTTCCGTGCCTTGCCTGGAACTGACCCCCATTTCCCGCGGGAGGGGCTTCCCCGTAGCCCTGGGCTGCAGCACCTCCCCACCCGCGTAGCTTGAAGGGGCCCCAGCGGGTATTCACGGGGCCTTCCCACTACGGCTCTGCCGTGGGAGTCACGTTCCCCCGTGTGGAGAGAGCGTCTTCGGGGGCCCGGCTCCCCCAAACCTTGGGCGTCTCCCTCCCTCCCTCCGCTGACAGACACCCCGCAGCCTGTCCGTGACACACACACAGGGGACGGATCTTAGGCTGTGGACGGCGAGGAGAGCCCTGCGCTATGTCCCGCCTGGAGCGGCCCTGCTCTGGTTGCAGCGCTGGCCTGTCTCGTAAAGCGGAGCAGCGGCTTGGAGGAATTTGCTGCGGGAACTCGGAGGCGTCCTTTGGCCAGTCTCAGAGCAGCATGGGCGGTGACTCCCCGAGGCTAGAACCGGGGCATTTTCTGTCTGTCAGGGTAGCGTTACGGTGTAGCTGATGTGCACCAACTTTTCCCAACCTAGCGCTAAAAATTTCCCAAATCTGGTGAAAAATGCCCAGATAAAGTTTTCTATAGTGCTTCTATATCCTGGGACATTTCCCAAAACCTGGGAATGTGTGAGTAAAATGTTTCAACTTGGGAAATTGGGAATTTTCATTCAAAACATTTTACTCAAAAATTCCCAGATTTTGGGAAATGTCCTAGGATATAGAAGCATTGCTGATGTGATACTCCCTCAAAGGAGCAGATGTCCTAAGCCTCGGGAATACGCTGATTCTTTGCAGTGTGTACATTAGAACTGCCAATCAGAGCAATGATATGTCTCCAAGAGTGGCCAGTACCAGAGCTTCAGCGGGAGTATACAGCACAGACCAGTCGGAGTGATGCACACCCCACCTTCCCTCGCCATTGGCTTATAACTCTTTAATATTGCTTTTTAAAGTGGCTTCACAATGGATGAGACAGTTGCTGAGTATATCAGAAGGACTGTGCTGAAAATCCCACGCTGTCAAATCATGGAAATGCTAACGATGTGGGAATTTCTCTCCAAGACGCAGCTGCAAACCATTAACGTGCATCAGCTAAAGGAAAGAATTTCCCAAGCAGTGGTGGAGCTTTGTGAGGTGATAACATCCATTGTGAATGGTCTGTCTGTCTGTTTGAAACATTCTCATTCTACTTGCATAATGGCAGGATGGTATACTAGAAGCATGTATTGGTGTCTTTGTAATGTGTGACACACATTTAAGAAGGAAAATATTCTCATTCTCAAATTAACTTTATTTTCCTTAATCCCACAGGTTAATAGTTTCCAATCTGAGAAATATAGTGCATGAATACTGAGTTGGCCTAACTAATTTCAGTGGGTGCACAACTGACCCATAGGAAGGCACAGTTGGACTCAATTCTTCCTTGCTCTTTAATTGAATCATAGATTAGAGCCTGTTATTGTTAACAATTACTCAAAGATTTATGTATTGGCACTGGGTAGATTCCAGCCATTCAGTAGTTTTGGAGCTGTTCTGAAGTTCATCTGTATTTGTAAAAAGCAACAGAGCGTCCTGTGGCACCTTTAAGACTAACAGAAGTATTGCTCCCAATACTTCTGTTAGTCTTAAAGGTGCCACAGGACGCTCTGTTGCTTTTTACAGATTCAGACTAACATGGCTACCCCTCTGATATCTGTATTTGTGAATATGAATGTTAAACATATTCTATCTGGACATCTAGAAGGCTAAGACATGTTACTCCTAAAATGCTGTCTCTCTTAAGGAGTAGAATGCCTATAGTTTTTTATTCTTCTGGAATTCTGTAGTGTTATTTCTGAGGTTTGTGGTTTCTGTTTTGACAAACAAGCACATTAGATGGAATAATTTCCTCTGCAAGATTTGTTTTCACTTTACTTGGTGTAAAACAAAATTTCTTCATATAACACTGCTTGTGATAATGTTCCACAGTTGGGGCCTGATCCTACAATTGCATTTGCATGGGCAGACCCCTGGGCTGGCTTCTGTGGAGTCTCAGTTATCATATCTGCCCTTAAATTCTACTGTTTGTTACACAGTTTTAAAGGCATTGGAATCTCATGATTCCACAGATCTCTTATCTATAGTATTAATATGCAAGCTTCGGGTGCAAGCCAAAAAGACTTGCTGAACGCCATAAATAGTATTGTTAAACTACTTTTAGTGGGATAACAAATGCCAGGTTTAAAATAGCGAGGGTGTTTTGTAGAAACTTCTTTACTCTGTTCCTAAGAGTATCTGAGATTCTTCAGATGGCATGAATTTTTAAAAACTAAATAAAATTGATGGGAGGAAAATGATAGTTCACCTTTTACTTGGTTTGGATAATGAAATGCTAGTCATTTTCTCTTCTGTTTATAATAAAGTTTAGTTAATTTCACTTACTGGGTCTTGTGTACTAGTTCAGAATAGCAATGTTTAAATTGCAGCCTCTGCAGAGGGAGTGCATAAGTCCAATAAAATGTTTTCAATTTTTTAAAAAAACTATGACTAATACTGGGTTGGCAAAATCTTTTTTTGACTGTATGCTCTTTGTGACAGGGAGTTTGTCTTCCAGTGTTTAGAAACTGCCTAGCATTCTGAAGCCATTAATGCAATCTAAGTAATTTTAACAGTATCTACATTCTGGGGCTAAAATTCCAGACAGTGTTTATTTAAGCTGCAATTTTAATGAAGTGCTATAATGAATTCTGGCTCTACGGTTCACCATGCACTCTAAATATTTTCTTGCAGGAAAACTCTGCAAGTATCAAGCAAGCAGCCATTCTAGACATGATTTGTAAGTTAAAAATACCTTTTCTTTATATTTTATCTGACATTATCAAATAACTTATAATTCAGAGAATTGCCCTTCTGAGATATTGGTGTGTTAAAGAATGGTCTGACCCAGTATGCCCAATAGTCCATCTAGCCCAGGATCCTGTCTTCTGACAGTGGCCCGTGCCAGATGGTTCAGAGGAAATGAACAGAACAGGCAACTTAGAAGGTGATTCATCCTTTGTTGTCCAGTCCTAGCTTCTGGCAGTCAGAGGTTTAGGGGACACCCAGATCATGGGGTTGCATCCCAGACATTCTTGGCTGATAGCCACTGATGGACCAATCCTTCATGAACTTATCTAATTCTTTTTTGAACCCAGTTACATTTTTTGGCCTTTCCAACATCCCCAGGCAATGAGTTCCACAGGTTGACTGTGCGTTGTGTGAAGTACTTCCTTATGTTTGTTTTAAAACTGCTGCCTATTAATTTCATTAGGTGACACCTGGTTATTGTGATATGTGAAGTGATAAATGACACATCTGTGTTCACTTTCTCCACTCTGTTCATGATTTTATAAACATCTGTCATATTATCTATCCTATCCTTAGTCATCTCTTTTTCTGAGCTGAACAGTTTCTGTTTTTAATCTTTCCTTGTACAGAAGTTATTCCATACCCGTAATCATTTTTGTTGCCCTTCTCTGTACCTTTTCCAATTCTAATATCTTTTTTGAGATGGAGTGACCTGACCTGCATGCAGTATTCAAGGTGTGGGTGTATCATGGATTTATGTAGTGGCATTATGATTTTTTTTTCTATCCCTTTCCTAACGGTTCCTAACATTGTTAGCTTTTTTTGAGTGTGGTGCACATTTAGCTGATGTTTTCAGATAACTGTCCATGGTGACTCCAAGGTCTGTCTTCTTGAGTGGTAACAGCTAATTTAGAGCCCATCATTTAGACTGCATGGTGTGGGATTATGTTTTCCAATGTGCGTTACTTTGCACTTATCAATACTGAATTTCATCTGCTATTTTGTTGCCCAGTCATCCAGTTTTGTGAGATCCCTTTGTAATTCTTTACAGTCTGCTTCAGACTTAACTATCTTACATAATTACAAAAAAAGATACAAAATATCTTACATAATAAAAAAACCCACCTTGCTGTTTACCCCTTTTTCTGCATCATATCTGAATATGTTGAACAGCACTATTCCTAGTACAGATCCCTGCGGGATCCTGTTATCTCTCTCCACTGAGGAAACTGACCATTTATTCCTACCCTTTCTTTTTGCCTTTTAACCAGTTACTGATCCATGAGAGGACCGTTCCTCTTATTCCATGACACTGTGCTTAAGAGCCTTTGGTGAAGACTTGTCGAAGCTTTCTGAAAGTCCGAGCATACAACATCAACTGGATCACTTTGTCCATATGCTTGTTGGCACCCTCAAAGAATTGTAATATATTGGTGTGGCATGATTCCCCTTTACAAAAGCAATGTTAACTTCCCCAACATATCATGTTGATCTGCGTGTCTGATAATTCTGTTCTTTACTCTAGTTTCAAACACTTTTCCCGATATTGAAGTTAGGCCTGTAATTACCAGGATCGCATCTGGGTCCTGTTTTAAAAATTGGCATTACATTAGCTATCCACCAGTCATCTGGTACACAGGGTGATTTAAGTGATCGATTACAGTTAGTAGTTCTGCAAGTTCATGTTTGAGTTCTTTCAGAACTCTTGGGTGAATGCCATCTGGTCCCGGTGACTTATTACTATTTAATTTATCAACTTGTTCCCAAACCTCCTCTACGGACTATCTCAGACTGAG